CTAGGAATATATTTAACTAAGGCGGTAAAAGACCTCTACAGGGAGAACTATGAAACATTGAAGAAGGAAATATCAGAGGACATAAACAGGTGGAAAACCATACCATGCTCATGGGTCGGCAGAATCAACACTGTTGAAATGACTATACTACCCAAAGTGATCTACAGATTCAGTGCATTCCCGTTTCCCACTTTTTGATGTTATAAGCCTATAAGTTGCTTTGTGGTGTTTTATTGCAGTGTGTTTCCAAATGTATGCAAACCAGGGGAAAGGGAAAAAGAAATCTTAGAGCTTTTTAACACTTTTCTTGATTATTCTCTAAAACCAATCTAAACATTTTGAAAAGTGCAAGGAAAGTAGTACAACTTTGTTCATTTGATGTGTTTATTTTTAAAAACAATTTTTTAAATCTTCAATTAATCTTTAATAAAATTCCTGATAGATGGGTGGCTTTGTGGGTGGCTTTGCCATGGACTTGGCGTAGTGCCTTTATTCCAGTAACCTCTGTGTCTCTCTCCAAGAAATCTGAATGAAATGAACTTCATCTTGTTTTTTCAGTCCAAGAAAACTGTAATACCATTGAATATAATATTTTGAATTGTAAAAGCAGTTTTCACCTCACTTTCTGGAGATAGTCTAAAGTTAACTCATCCCCGTGAAACCTCCCTCTGTTCACAGATCTGGGTTCACAGTGCCCACAACGCCAGTGGTTATTTTACCATCTACGGAGACGAGTCCCTGCAGTCGGATCACTTCAACTCAAGGTTAAGTTTTGGAGACACTCAGACTATCTGGGCACGAACGGGCTATTTGGGGTTCCTGCGGAGAACGGAGCTCACAGATGCGAACGGAGGTGAGAGCCCAGGCTGCCCCACCCCCACAGGCAGAGGTTAGGTTCCCCTAGAGAACATGTGTCTGAGGATTGGGGTGGCCAAACCCAGAGGACTTGTGTGCTGGCTGCAAATCACCCAAAAACAGCTAAGTGGGAAAGAGAGGAAAGCAAAATGCAAATGTGTCCCGTGAGCTGAGCTGTGTATTCTCCCAAGAACCAAGATGTAAACCAGGGAGGAGCCCAGAAGGCACAGGCGTCAGTGTTTCCCCCAGCAAAGCGTACTCCCTCCAGGTCCAACTGAGGCAGAAACCAGCCAGTGGCTGCGGGAATGTGCGTGCCACTGCTTCCAGGACGGGGTCTCTGTCCGGGAAGGGAGAGGCCGTGAGGCTCTTGGACCCTGGCGATGGGCTGTCTCTGCTGTGGTCGCTGTGCCCAGTGTGGGGCGGCGAGGGAGGTGGCTACTGCTGGTGTCTGCGGGACGCAGGGGTGAGATGTGAAAGTGTGCTTGTGTATTGTATTCTTTGCTGGTTCCAGAATCCTTCCCTGCCTCCTCCATTCCACTAAAAATAGAGGCAGAACTTGGCTGTTTTGCAAGGATGGTAGCCCAGGCTCTTGGTGAGCTCCTACCTAACCAAAGTCCCAGGGAGATGAGTTTGTAGATGTCAGTGGGGTCCCTGACACAACCGTCCAAACACTCACACTAGCCTGGCCCAACAGGGGCTGAAGGTAGGAAAAAAGTACAAAAATATTCTGGCATAACATTTGCCTTGTGGGAAATCTAGACAAATTTGAGTATCTCGGGTTCCTGTGAAGAGCTGAGTTTAGAGATGTAAAATTTGTAGCAGTTTATTCCTCCCAAGGAAGACTAGGAATATTCCATTCTGCTGAGTCCCAGGGAGCTGGGACAGCAGGCTGTCACCCCCAGCCACTGAGAGTTTGAACCCCCAACCATGGGAAGAGAGATGAAGCTCCCATCATGAGCAGAAGCCAACAAGTAAATGTCTCCATCTTTTCTGACTCAAATTTTTAAAGATTTATTTTGTGGTATTTTGTCAATCACGTCTTTCAGATTTTCCTTGATGTACTTACTACCCTATAAGACTCAAGGACATATTTTCTAATCGTTAAGGAGAGGTAGGGCTGACTACATGTTGTCATTGTTATTCCAAGGATCAAAACAAATTTCATGGCTACACGAGCTAAGGGAATCTTCCTTCATGAGCGTTACTGGAAACCGTGCTTGCTTTTCCCGCTTATACGTGGCATTAGTAGGTGCTCAGTGAAGAACTGCTGGGACAGGGTCGGAGGGAACCGGGTTTAATCTGGGCTGTGCTGCGTCCTGAGTGGCCCGAGCGGGTGGGGCCTGGGAGGACTCCGCCCACATGCGTCGGCCCCCGGGATGCAGACCGCTGGGCGCTAACCCGGCACCGACTCAGCCCAGAGTGGCTGCAGAGGAAGGTGTGACCGCGTGTTTGGCAGCATCCAGAAGCTGATCCAATCACAGGTCTCTCAAGCAGCAGTGTGGTGGCTCCACCGCCAGCCTTGCAGCACCCGAGTCCCAGCAGAAGGGAACCGACCTTCCCCAGACCAGCGTCCCTCAGGGTAGCTTTCAGCCCTTGAAAGGAGAGAGTGGCCCGAGCACCATGGCCATGAGGCACTCACACGTGTTTGTTCTGGAACAGAGCGCCACGACGCCCTCTACGTGGTGGGGGCGCTGGACGAGGCCATGGAGCTGCGGGGCATGAGGTACCACCCCATCGATATCGAGACCTCGGTGATCAGAGCCCACAAAAGCGTCACGGAGTGGTGAGTCGGGAGTGTGGGGGTTCTGCGGGGGCGGGGGAGACGGCAGCGGTGACGCGCACCTGCCTCTCAGGGGCTGAGTGATAAAGGGGTCCTCACAGAGTTGGGGTGTTGCATGTTACTTCCAGACAATGGATTTTTGTTACCGTGACACCATTGCATTTGATAGCATTTTCCAGGAAGCCAAGTTTGATTTACAAAAGCATGACGTAGGAAGGAACCAAGTTCACACATACGTAGGCACAGAACATACCTTCATGGCTGAACTGTGAGAAGTATGATACCTGGGCAAGCTCTAGGCTGGAGCAGAGGCAGGGTTCCGGCCAAGCTTCCCCAGATACATGTGGAAAGAAGACTCACTTGAATTAAAGCAAAGCCATTGGTGACAAGCCACCTGGGGCAGATGTCCTAGGGGAGGGGCCCAGAGCAGAGTCTGGGCCCAGGTGAGAACTCGGTGTCCCCTCCGCAGGGGCTGGACTTTGTCTTTCTGTCTGGCCACTGAATCATTGTGAAGTGCTGAGTGTGTGAGAAACAGCAGGTTTTCAGGGCAGCTCGCTGGTGTTCCCCGACATGCGGGGGTGGCCTAGAGGCCGGGGAGCCATGGGTTAAGTCAGCCAGTCCTGAGGACTTTCTCGGGCTTGCTCAGGGTCTCTATGTTGCTTTTTTTTTTTTTTTTTTGAGACAGAGTCTGGCTCTGTCACCCGGGTAGAGCACAGTCATGTCATTATAGCTCACTGCAGCCTCCATCTCCCAGGCTTAAAGTGATCCTCCTGCCTCAGCCTCCCAAGTAGCTGGGACTACAGGAGCCCAGCCCACTTTTCATTCTTAAAAGCAACACAGGCCGGGCGCGGTGGCTCACGCCTGTGATCCTAGCACACTGGGAGGCCAAAGTGGGAGGATCGCTCGAGGAGCTTGGGACCAGCCCGAGCAACAGCGAGACCCCGTCTTTACCAAAAATAGAAAAAAATTAGCCAGGTGTGGTGGCGCGTGCCTGAGTCCCAGCTATTTGGGAGGCTGAGGCAGGAGGATCACTTTAAGCCTGGGAGATGGAGGCTGTAGTGAGCTATAATGACATGACTGTGCTCTACCCGGGTGACAGAGCCAGACTCTGTCTCAAAAAAAAAAAAAGAAGTGACGCGACACCAGATTTATTCGCTCGACGGCAGACGGGCGCTCACCGGGCGGCACCTGCTGAAACCAGTCCCAGTCTCGGGTCAGAGCCCCCGGAGGAGGCACATTCCGAGATCTCTCAGCAGTTCTCTTGGTGGTGAGGGCGGTTCTGCGGCTGCGTGTGCGTCCTGTGGCCCATCGGTCTGCGGTGGGCAGGCGGGCGTTTATTGCCGTCAGCCAGTCCGCGCATCGAGTGCTTGGCAGAGCAGATGAAATGGAGTTTGCTCGCCTGCGAATCGTCCTGGTTCAATGTCCCAGATTGTCGGAGTTTCCGGCGTTCTTAGCTCTGGAGAAAGGACAGAAAGCCAGGAAGACGGTCAGCCTGGAAGCCGGGCACAGGCCCTGCCTCATTTTCCACCTAAATAGCCAGAAATACCAGTTACAGCCTCCTCATTTTTGTATTTTTAAGAAAATAACTTAATTGGCTTTTGTCACGTCCCTCGAGCGTTTTCTGTCTGGCTTCCACCGTAAAGGCGGCTCTGGGGGGCCTCTCCGTGTCCCTGTGGGCCTCTGGTCCACGTGCCGGTCTTCCCTCTGCGCCGCTGGGCCGCGTGGCCACTGGCCCGAGTCTGCCCCTCCCGTGGCCAGGGACCTCACTCACCTGGTCCACACGGGGCGCCGGAAAGAAGAAGAGTAAGTGGTTTTTATCCAGACAGACTTTGACACGTCAGGGACCATCGGTCGCAAACTCGGGCTCCTCCTCCCCTCCGCTCCGTGCTGGGAAACGCTGCGGCGTCAGCGCCTCGTGTCCCGGAACCCCACGGTTTCCCTGCTGCCAAATCGGGCCCAGCCGGATCTTTGCACGTCTCATCAGCTGATTCTCAGGGTTAGAACAGCAGGCGCCGCCCTAGGAGAGTTCTGACCCGGCTGCCACAGACCCTTGGCTCCCAGGGGTGACGGTGGAGCACGTCCCTGGCCTGCTCTGCTGCCTACGAGAGCCAGGCTGACGTCTGACCTGTCGGATGTGCCGTCAGTTCCAAACGCCGCAATAAAATTATACCAAAGTGCCTGTGAGATTTACATAATGTGGTATCACAGAGCCACAGAACGGGCTCCCATGGCCGCGCAGAGCAACACTTTAACATCACAGGAGCCAGGTGTGGGAATTAAGTACCACGTCGTCTTGGAAACGTTTCTCAGCGGGATTGTTTCCTTAGTTACGCAGCTGCCACAGAGCAAAGTCCGGGAGAGACCCGCCGAACTCGCTCTCCGGTTCGCCCTTTGATTCCAACATGCACAGGCCGTACTGAATACAGCAGTGAGTCCCCCAAAACACACCCCACTCAGCTGGAGGTGAGCGTGTGGTTGGGCTTGAGAGCAGAAACCAGCAGCCTGAGCCTGGCGTCCACGCAGCTCCCTCTGGCCTCTGCAGCTAAGCAGACTGTGGGTGCCAAGGTCCGTGAACGTCAGGGTCCTTAAACCAGCGGTCCCCACCCTTTGGACACCAGGGGCCGGCTTCGTGGAAGACGGTTTTTCCGTAGACCGGGGAGGGGATGGTTTCAGGATGATGCAAGCACATCACGTTTATTGAGCAGTCAGACCTCTCTGCTGATGACGATCTGTATTTGCAGCCGCTCCCCAGCGCCAGGGTCACCGCTCAGCTCCACCTCAGGTCATCGGACATTAGGTTCTCACAAGGAGCCACAACCTGCACCCCTTGCACGCGCGGTTTGCAGTGGGGTTCCCGCTCCTGTGAGAATCTGATGCCGCCGCCGATCTGACAGGAGGCGGAGCTCGGTGACGCGAGCCATGGGAGCGGCTGTAAACACAGGAGGAGCTTCGCTCCCTGGCCCGCTGCTCACCCATCTCCTGCTGTGCGGCCCGGTTCCAATAGGCCACGGGCCGGTACCAGTCTGGGGCCCGGGGATTGGGGACCACAGCCTTAAACAACCAGTTCTAAAAGCCAACTCTCCAAAGTTCTCGTGGTTTCGGACGTAAAGTGCTGGATTTCTGCTTCTGGAAGTCAGGCAGACTAAACACTGCGGTGCCCTTCCTGCTGAAAAGCAAGTAGATGCCAAATAAAACCCTTCTGGACAGATCTTCCTGCTGTTCGTCGTCCCCCGACTCGGCACTTTAGGTGGAACCCGGCGTCGCGTCCCCAGGTCTGCGGCTGGCCGGCCGCAGAGTGCACTGGGCTGGGTGTGCGCCCAGCGACTCTTCTCCACGAGGACCACAGGGCCGGCCCCGCCGTGTCCCTGTCCTCGCGATAGCAAAGGCAGCTGAGGACAAGCCACGCACCGGCACTTCTCAAGCCTCTGCCGGCGTCGCCCCGGCTAACGTGCCGACCAAGCTCCGGGCCGCGCCCAGGACGGGGACTTGCCCCACGGCGCACAGACGGGGGCCGCCACGCATCCCGCCGCCACACGCCCCTCGGCGGCAGAGCAGGGAGCTGCACGCGGAGGCCCAAGCTGCTTCCCAGGCAAGTGCCGACGGTGCCCTGACCTCGGTGAGGGGCTGGGTCCCCCGGGCGGCAGCACAGAGGCAGGACAGGAGCGCAGACTCCTCTGAGCAGTAGAAGTGGGAACACGCGGGGAGAGGAAGCCACCGCCAGAAGGCAGAAGAGAGCGCCAACAGCGGCGCTCTGCCAGGACGGTTGTGTGCGGAGTGCTCCGTGCGTGGCTGTCGGGAGCCTCGGGCAGGCGTGAAGTCGGCCAAGTGTAGGTTTCCGAGAGGAGCCCTCCCGCCGTGGCCAGCCTGGACGGTAACGCTGTTTCTTTCTGTCTTTCAGCGCCGTGTTCACCTGGACAAACCTGCTGGTGGTCGTGGTGGAGCTGGATGGGTCGGAGCAGGAGGCCTTGGACCTGGTGCCCCTGGTGACCAACGTGGTCCTGGAGGAGCACTACCTGATCGTGGGCGTGGTGGTCGTGGTGGACATCGGCGTCATCCCCATCAACTCCCGCGGGGAGAAGCAGCGCATGCACCTCCGCGACGGGTTTCTGGCCGACCAGCTGGACCCCATCTACGTGGCCTACAACATGTAGCCGCGTCCCTCCGGCTTCTGTGGACTCTCGCAGAGACGGACGCGTTTTCCCGGTGTCCGCCGAAACGCGCAGACACGGGCGACATTCGCCGGAGCGGAGCCCCGTGCGGTGTGAGGGGAAGAGGAGGACTTCTCGCAGCGGTCGCCGTCGGCGCGGAGACGAAATGTGAATTTGCCACTGAATTTCGCTCAGAAGGACTTTGGATTCCTGCCTTCAGTCTGTCGGAAAAGCCCATTTCAAAAACTTTCGTTTCGTTTCTTTTCTTTTTTAATTATTGGATAATAAGTGCTTTCTTCGTAAATGTGGTATTTTGTTAAGCCGAAATAGCAATTAAAAAAAATCCTGCCCTCCAGATGGGTTCTCTCAAACAGTTTCTGTAGTGTGACAAAGAATTGTTTTCTCTGTTTTAATGTGTCATGAAATCTTGATGACATGGATCTGTTACTAATTTAAGCCATTGCTAGATCTCATCCTTTTAGGAAAGTTTATTGAGGTACGAGAAAACCTTCCAAATAGCACCTTCCAATTAGATTTTAGCAGCTTTCTTTGTCAGAAACGTGCTGAAGAAACAAAGGCCGATATGTGACCTTTGAAGTTAGCATAGAATGAGAAGAAATTATAAATAAGGTGTATTTCGGCAATTATCTTGCAAATATCTTTGTACTAAACTAAAAAGATAAAATAAGTTAACTTCCTCAATATGTAATTATGTACAAAACGTTTAATTTATTTTGATCTCTTTAGAAGTATAAAAGAGAAAAACATTCAAGAATATTAAAGTCTTGTAATGTTTGCTAATATAAAAAAAAGTGTTGTATTATCTTGCGTGGATAGTATCACAGCAAATATATATATGAAATATAAATTCACTAATGAAAAAGGAGACTTTAAAGTTTAAAACGCAGAGCTTGTCACGTGCATGGTGTGCCCTCCCCGCCCCCACACACTCTGCTCTCGCCGGCAGGCGCAGGCGGCCAGACGCCCGGCCAGAGACAGCCAGTGCCGTCCCTGTGCTCTCGGAGGCGGCGAGGGGCGTCCGAGCCGAATGCGCACTGTTCCTCCTTTGCCGTGGGGACAGCGGTGACTGCTCGTGCCAGCACTTGCCGGCCACGCTCGAGGGGCTTGGGCTGGCAAGTAGCACTGTTTTCTTAGCTGCAAGCATCGTTGCACAGCGCTGTTCATCATTTTCGTTAGTGTCACCTTGTTTGGTCCTGGGTATGCAAAGGAGGGTGTTCTGTGGTCATTTGCACGGCTCGTTGACCCCCTCAGATGGCCAGTGTGGAGGGGACTGTCCCCTCGTCTTAAGACCCAGCCGACTCCGTGTGAGCCCCTGGTCTCTGGGGTTCCCTCGTGGGGAGCACGAGCCCCGGGGAACCGTAACAGAGCCCCGGCTGGAGCAGGAAATCCTCCCAGCGGTGTCGCTTGCCCCCGTGGAGGAGCACGGCCCCGGGCTCTGTCTCTGCCGCGGCCACCTCACCTTCCAGAGCCGCTCTCTGCTCTTCCCCACGAGTTGGCCTGTCCACAGCCAGCCGAGGGGGGATATCAGCAATCCGAGAGGTTTATTTTCTAATTGCCCCGACGGGACCCTGCGGCGGCTCTCGGTACTAGGTGTGTGTGGCTGAGGCGTTGCTGGCACAGTCTGGATTCTTTTTCATTGTATCACGGGCAGCGTCTTTGTCTGCCTTTGCTGAGTGCAGCCAGCAGTGAGCCCTTTGCTAAAAGAGTTTTGTTTGACTTCTGAGATCCAAGGCTGATTGTAAAAAAAAAAAAAAATAGTGGCACATTTTCTTACATTTGTCTGCGTTTGTGGTGCACCTCCCATCTCCACAAATCATTCGATTCTTAAAGTAGTTTGACTTCATTGCTGTGTGAGTCTTTCTCTACGCGCTTCAGATACACATTCCTGGTCTTCTGCTTCCTACGGGGGAAAACCACAGAAAAAGACATTTTCTCATACACTCCACCTGGTTTGAGGGGAAGTAGGCGTAAGGTTTCAGGTAAGATGACGATTATCAGACATAATTGCAGTGCGCAGGGAAACCGTCGAGGTCCAGCTTAAGTCGGGAAGCAAATGAACGTAGATGCCCCTTCAGACACAGTCTAAACCTTCACCGTATCAACTTCCCGTTCAAGGAGGGTGAGCGCCGCAGGGCGGATGTGGAAGCTGTTAACAGCAGGTCTCTTCTGCACCCCGTGGTCTCTGATGTTAGAGTTTAGGTTCCAAAAATTTGGTGGGCTGGGATCGAAGTCTAGTTGTGCAAGAAAAAGGAAAGGAGACACTTTTAAGTACTACCAGTTTCAGCAATAAAGAAGGATCGTTCTGTATTAGAAATTGTATTGTAGATAAATCATTCACAAGAATGTAAAAAATGTTTGTCTTGTGACCTTGTGCTTTTGAAGTCAGACAAAACCGTGTCATCAACTTGCACAAAAAAGGGTACACAACGAACACACAGACACAGACCTAATCAAACAGGAGCGGATTCCTCATGGTGCTTGTTTATTATATATATTTAATCCTGCTTGACACTTTACCCAAGGGAAACGGTCCCTTTTATCAGTTGAATGTTAGCAACGTTATTTCAGAGTGTGGTGACTGGTTAGAGAAATTCATGTACTCGACCAATCACGGTTTCAAACAAAATTTTTATGTGCAAAGGACAGCAACCTTCTTGTATGTTAACCCACCAGTATGCTTTGTACATCTGTGATAACGCCTGTTTTATATTCAAATGAACAAATAAAAGCTTTTATTTTTGTTGCTCTGAAAATAGCAGTTTCTTAATTGGTCCCCTGGAAAAATGTCTGGGACAGCTTCGATCCCAGGAAGGAAGCGACTCCTACAGGGACACCTGTCTGACTCTGTTTACATAATTTGTCGCCTAACTTAGTACAGGTAATCGTACTTTGAACAATGTTTAAATTTCGATGTGGGCATTTATTGCTAAAAATAATTCCTATGGCAACAAATGTTTTGTGAAATGTTTTTTTAATTCTTTTAAATATATCCAAATATATTTGTTCACATTTTGCTGCAAGTGTTCAGATTATTGGTGACTTTGGGACAAACAGCGTGAGTCCTGTGTGCGGATCCTTTCTGACAGCTCAGTCACAAGGAGCCTTTGTAGCAGGAAGTAGGACTGGTTGACTGTTCCCACCCAAATCGTCTTTATTCACTGGACAACCCAAAGCTATACCTTCTGTCGAAGATGTGAGAATTCTTACGGCTTTGTCTTTTGGAAGGCAGTAGCAGGGTCGCTGACCTTCAGCCTAATGATCATGAAAAAATAAATCCTTGTACACGTGAAAACCAGTAGAATTCTATCTGCACACAGAGCACCAGGGTTAATCTAAGTGCCTTTGTACCCTCCTCCAGCTCGCGTTCAAGACCAGCTTGTGCCGACCAGGGGACGGTGCTGTGGGTGGATGAGAGTGGATGGCGGGCGTAAGACCTACCTGGCTGTGTGGCATCAAACCGAATGTTGCAAGAACATTGCAGGATATAACAATGACAGGTCAGATACGAGGTAACTGAGGGACTTGTTCCTGCGGAGCCCTCCATTAGACCGCGTGCGTGCGTGCGTCTGAGTGCCTGTGCGTGGGTGTAGAATTTTCTACGTGCTATTCTAGTTCTCGGGACGCCACCACCCTGTTTGCTTGGCTGATCAAGTGTCCTTCCGTCTTGTGAATCTTCTGCAAGATCTCAGTGCGCTGAGCTCGCGATGGTCTGTCCGCCAGGACGGAAGCGAGGAGGCTGCTTCTGGGGAGCTGTTCCTTAGCAAAAGGAACCGTTTCCTGGCAGCTTGATGTCAGCTCCGACTGATGACGTTTTCTCAGTAGCACTCACAATTCCTGATCCCCGCTGGCTAAATACTTTATTTTCTACCAGATTCCAGAAAGTCATGCTGGGATCCTTTACAACCTCCCCTGCAATCCCTGGGTTCTGTCTGGAATGAGAACTTCTGCCAACGTCGTCATTTCCCTCTGGCGAGAGTGTCTCGGGCACACCTGGCTGAAGCCCAGTGGATGCTCTCAGTTGCTGCCTCTTGGTGTTTTTTGGTCTTTAAGGTTAATTCTGTGAACAAAATAACTGAGCAAGACCAACTCAATACCTTAGCAAGTGATTTGGACTGACCCGAACGCTAATGTGGCCTGTCATTTTGTGATGGGGACGTCCTTGGGTGGCTGACAGTTCCAGCTCACCCCAGCTTGCTCAGGAGCCCACCTGTCTACTCCTCCCCACCACTGAACGGCACTCAGACGTATGAGACACCATGTCTAGGCTCCAGATGCAGGTGCGCCTCCAGGTGGGTGGACCCTGGGGAGCCGTCCTTAATTCAGGAGGCATAGAACAACCTGTAAAATGGTAAGTAGTAGAAATTGAAAGTGGGAAAACAGGGTAAATGCTGTCTGCGTTGTCTTAGAGGAGCTGGCTCTTAGTGCTGGAAGCTCTGGAGTGTAGGGGAAGAAAACACATCACTGCAGCCCTGCTCCTAATGTTGTTCCTATTCCTGACGTGGTGCTGACTTCCACTAACCATCCTTCACCTGTCTGGCACCGCGCTGGGGAGGCAGGGCGTGTCTTCTCCGTGTGCTACCGCGGCACCTGGCGTCCAGCAGACACTTGCCAGCCTCCTCCAGGCTGAGTTGCGTCAAGGGCTGCTTCTTGGGAGGGGCCCGAAGCCCCCGTGGGTGGGTGAAGGCCGTCCACGAGAGTATCGGGAAGTAGCGTAAATTGAAAGTGGGGGATAGAAGAACATGAAGGTGCAGAAGGAGCCAGGTCCACCTGGACATCCAGCGACAGGGGCTGTCCAGTGGATCATCTGCTGCAGGTTTGGGTGGAACAGAGTGGAAGGAAAGTGGTTTTAATCTCACGAAGGGAAATCATGAGCCAGAGAGCCAGCCCTCGCTGTGCAGGTAACCGCCTGACTGTGTCTCCTGGACCTCACAGGACAGGTAACCACTAGACTGTGTCTCCTGGGCTTCATGGGACAGGTAACCACCTGGACTGTGTCTCCTAGGTAACCACTGGACTGTGTCTCCTGGACCTCACAGGACAGGTAACCGCCCGGACTGTCTCCTGGGCTTCATGGGACAGGTAACCACCCAAACTATGTCTCTTGGACCTCACAGGACAGGTAAGAACCCAAACTGTGTCTCCTGGACCTCACAGGACAGGTAACCACCCAGATTGTGTCTCTTGGACCTTACAGGACAGGTAACCACCTGGACTGTATCTCTTAGTTCTCCACTCTATGCTGAACTTTAGGAGAACACCATGTCTTAGGGACCTTCCGATCCC